TTTTTTTTTAAATTCGTGATTTGACTTTGACCAACATACCTTCAACGTGTGGCCTACTTTCCTACAATTAAAACATGACATTTTCCCTGCTTCTTGTTTTGGCATTTTTGACTGTGTTTTCTTATCTGATTCATATGACGTTTCCTCTCGTTGAGCTTCTGCTAGTGCTTCCTCAATTGTGCTTGGATGACTTGCWTTCACCATCATCTTTACTGGTTGTTTCAATCCTTCTACAAAGATACTTAATGTCTGCGACTTTAAAATTTGTTCTATGACCTCTGCCACTTCTGTATTTTTATCTTTAGTTTGGACATTTAATGTTAAGTGAAATAATTTCTCTAATCTCTCATAAAACGTACCAACATCCTCATCGAATTTCTGCCGAGTTGTTGTTAATTCCGTGGCTCAAAACAATTTTTTTAAGTTGCCTTCAACTCCTCCCAAGTGCTAATTTTTTTAAACCGAATAACTTGAGCCGCCTTTGCTGTTAAATTTGCAATCMATGCACCTAACATCACGGGTCTTAAACTTTCATCGATACATGACAAAGCAAACTCTGCTGACCTTATAAAATTTTGTAGACCGTCAGAGTCTTGATTTTCAAATTTTGGTAAGATTCGCAATGCCGCCTCCATAGAAATTATCAAACTCATGTTGTCAGACTCTGAAACCACTTGACTAGACTCCCGAGAAAAAATATAAACTTGCGTGCTAGAGTCAAATGAGACAGTTTTCTCTAGAATATTAGAGCTAACCCCTGCGGAAACTTTTACCCGTCTACGTTGAATTGATAGATCTAGAGTATTTCGACCACTAACGGGATTCTGTAAACCTAATAGAGTGCTTGTACTTGGTAGTGGATCTACTAACTGMCTACTACTGATACTACTACTTTTGTTTGGTGTTGATTGTCCAGCTCTACTGTCGTCGGATTCAAACGACTTATCTGGTACAAAAGTTAAGTCCTTACTATCGTCTTTTGTATAAGAACTATCGTCACTCATCAATCATAAAAAAAAAAAAAAAAAATGGGTGTTTCTAACTATAAAAATTAAACTTACATTAACATTACATATAACATAGTCGAAGTTGGTAGTCCGGAATGCTCCTTAATTGACTTGACCGGAAATGCCCTGAAGTTGAAAATAGAATGCTCTGAAGACTGGAATGCTCTGAAGTCTGAATAGAATGCTCTGAAATTCGAATTGAATGCTCTGAAGTTTAAATAGAATGATGTGCCTTGACTCGTTCAATAATAATTTAAACTTAAAACTGCKTAATTAAAAATCCTGTGTTTGCTACAATGGTTCGTTTTTCCGCTGCCACCAATGTTACAAGTCGGTTGACCGTAGCCTCGTACGTCGTACTCGTAGAGTTTTGAACTCAAGTATATATTTAAAATAACAAACACGAACTAAATAAGTTATCAGTTAGTTTTATTAATTGAATAGGTATAGATCCTGGGTGCTGTCCATTTCCAACTCCTTTTCATATCATCTTATCGTACCTTATATCTAAATTTAAGTAGGA